TATATATATATATATATGGTATACATATATATATTATTTTGTATTTTCAGTTTCATACAATTAAATGCGCTTCTACCTTCTCTACACAGTAGGCCTATCATGAACACACAGACATACATAATTATTATTATAACCGAGATAAAACTAATAAAATATTGATTGATTAAGGCAATATTAGATAATATAGCATAATATAGAAGAACATTCATATGATTTACGCACTTTATTCGCAAATTGTTCTCCCCACCTTAAATTCCTTCGGCTCTCCCCTTCTCCCTCTTTCTGTCTATCTCTCGGTATCGCCCTTCTTATATACGGCTCTCCCTCTCTCCTGGAATAGAAATTTCTAACCAAATAAAAAAAATTTCCTCACCAGGTTGCGAGACTAACGTCAGTACACAATTTTTTTAAATGAACTTGCGATGCCTGCTATTTTCTTGGGTGTAGTTATAGCTGGGGTTTCTGGGGTTTAGGGATAGCTGACTCGATGACCCTATGGTCTTTCGCTACCCCTTCACCCCTCACATTAATGTTTTCTGTATCATTGTATCTTTGCTAATTGTGGTGATAAATAAATTTTTTGAATTGAATTGAATTGAGTAGTACGCCGTAGTACGTAGTAGCAGAGCATATAAATCAACAATAGTTGATTTATATGCTCTGGTAGTAGTACTCTTATCTTACCATCTTTTTCCATCTCATTTTTGACAAGGCGCCAATAGATAAGAATGATATTCTTCAATTTTGTCTATGATTTCATTTGCCCAATTTTTTCCCCATATTTTAATTGTTGTAACAATACTCTTCTCATTAAACGTTCTTGCTCTAAATTAATTATGTATTAACATTAATTTTTTATAATAGATTTTGTCAAGAATTGGTATTAGTTTTTATTATACCTGGGCTATAGCTCAACTCTTAGAACGATTAGTGGGGTTTTACTATGTGCACCTAGTAGCTAATCATTTTGAAAGCCTTCCAATAATTGTATTTCCTTTTTTGTTAGGTTTGTCCAAGTTTTACTATTATTTAATATAGATAGGAGTATCGTGCACTCATATAATTTCACTCTAGCTTCTACTGTGAAATTGCCTTAGTTTTAGTAGTTTTGGGTTAGGGTTTGATTTAGTCATTGATGACGAACAGTCAGAACCTTTAGTTTCTACGACCACTACTAGATGGCAGCAAAGCCGGGGTGAGAGTAGGGTCAGAGATCACCGATTTACCGTTCATTCGTTTTTCGTGTAGCGAGTTTGACGAGAGTTCATAAATGAACCGTATGTGCTGTTTTCGATGTTTTGCGTTGTTGTAGGTCCTAGTCGTTGTGATCGCCGGCTCAAGCTTGTGATAATGATTCTCTATTTGATGAGAATATATTACATTGATTATTCGGACACATAACGTTATATTGTATTATATAACATTTCTGTCTAACGTCATTAGGATTAGCTCCCTATCAAATTAAACCTGCGCGCTTCCACGCAGGCACCCACTCAGTGAAGGTGTCGAACTAGTACTAGTAGTAGTACTAGTACAGCTGCTACAACTTACAAGACCGTGAGGCTTGTGCCTATGGTAACTCGGCCAATAATACTCACGCGAAGACGCTGGAGTGGCACTGCTGCGAGCAAACTCATCACAACGTTCCCACAACCCGAGGGAATTAGTGAAAGTTGCGGTCGTTTTGTGCATAGTACAGTCTGCTAAATACTGGTACTTCCAATCGGGCTTATGACCGTTAAGGCCCCAAATCTTACAGATTTGCGAGAAAGAATGGATGCGGTGATTTCTGTAAGTGTTTATATTTATTAAATTTAGGCAATGCATTTTCATGATCAATTGCGGGGCTTTCCCCATAGAATAGATCATGCCGTCTAACGTAAAATCTTGCAATTGCAATATTGGGCATTTATGTCAAATTTTAATAGCATACTATTGCACTTTCTGTTTGTTAAGGATTATTATTGTTTATTTATGTTCCTTTTACAGAATCCTTTAGTGAAGTCATTTGCAGCAGGATCATTTAGTGGAACATGTTCAACTGTCATATTCCAGCCTCTGGATCTAGTAAAAACTCGAATACAATCTCCTGGGTCAGGAAAGTATGTCTATGTGCTAATTGTACTTATATATTATATATTATTGTATTTACTATAAGCACCAAGCATCTCTCGTCTTCATATTGATGTGTACCGACTCTGGTATCACGTACACAGCTGGTATAGTTGCCACTTTCCAAATAATGGAAATGGCATAGCGATTACACGAACATTTCTCTGCTACCATTATGACTCGCTGCACTGACACGGTGTTTACTGCACTACACACTACTAAACATGCGACTGGCACTGTTGCTGAAATTTAAGCCAGTGGCTGCTAGCGTTTTTGTGCCGCCACTTTTTAATTGAGTACACCGCCAACTCACGCAAAGTATACATAATCTCTTTAAACGTTTTACCAAATAGCAAGATAATAGCAAAGACAATCCAAACCTGCTCGTGACTACATTGAGTGTAGACAGAGTTCTGAAACACTTTCTGAAAGAGAGATACTGAAATCTGAACACAAACTCCAAGTTTCCATTGATACACATTCATCTATCAATGTAGTTCCATTATTTAAGTAAATAACAAATAATATATTATACTTTAGTGGGAATAATCTGTCATGCTTACTCGATACTATAAAATCAACCACTTTTCACAAATTATTGTCTCAATTGGCAATTACGATGAGGATATAATAACATGTTTTTCAATTAAATAATGGGTTTTAACCTATTATGCGACTGGAAATGTGTTCTTATATCCTCATCATAATTCCTAATTGGGGTTAGAATTTCTCTTTCCCTTGCATCTATTGATGACTATTCGGCACTATTATTAATGATTCCGCAGCCTGCTTAGCAACAATCAATCATGCAGCCACACTTCCATTATTTAGAATTGGTGTTACTATGTTGCTACCAGGCATAAGTGGCAGAGTATCTCCAGGCCAACACATATTGTGCATGTATATAGGTATAGCAGAGCATTAATAAGAGTTGTAACATGAACATGCCTACAGATACAGTATAGGTTTCTTCATCTCTATATGTTGACGTATATATATATAAAAATGTACACGTGTTTATGACAATTGGTTAGTGGAACTACGATGGAGCCTTGATGTTGTGATCCACATAGTATGCAACATAAGGTTGTACTCAGAATACATTTGAATACAATTGGTGCCTTTGTTTATCTGTTACAATATGGGAAGTTTTTAAAACAGGCAAATTGTTAAAAAATATGGCACTGTTTCCTCGACGTGGCCCTGCCAAATTTATGAATCTGGTTTTTAATTTTAGCATTAAACGTTCTACAGTTGTGTGAAAGTCTGCTGTATGGCCTTTTACTATAAACAGAACCGTCACTGATAACTGTTTATAATAAACCATTTTACAAACAATGTCACCTTCATCACTGTCGATCGTTTAAACATTGACTCGGATTTTCTGTTTTAGAACTAGTGGTGCACAAGGTCTGCTCTCTGTGATCGCTCAAGTAGTCCGTAAGGAACGCTTCATAGGTCTGTGGAAGGGAATGACACCTGTGAGTACTCCCATCTATATCGCCAGGACGAGAGCTTTCAATAACTGCTTCAATTTGGTTAGCTGTATGTTTCTTGTAATATATATATATATATATATATAAACATATATGGGTTATGAAAAACACCTTTGTTAATCTATTTTCCAGTCGATAACGCGCACAATACCTGGTGTGGGCATTTATTTCTGTTCACTGCACTGGCTCAAGACAAATATTGGGTATGGTGTAATTAGAAGTAGATAATAGGGAAGGAGTGTGACTTCAATAAACTTGGGGAAATTCGTCATTTACTAGCCTTAGAATACCTACGATTTACTACGCATAACTCAACCAACTTGAGCTCAAATCATACACAGTACATTTGCCTAGCATCGTGCAAAATTGTTTCCTCGTATACACCCGCAATCCAGAGATACAGACTAAAATGTACGACACGATTCTCCATTCTGTTGCCAGCAAACCGAATGTATAACCCGCCTAACTTGAAACAAAAGGCAGCTACAAACGACTCTTGTGCACTCTTGTGCCCTTGGTGATGCGGTGTGGCTCGCTGGGAGATTGGAGCTGGAGCTGCTGCTGATTGTGGTGGGCGTGCGTGCGTGGGGGGCATACCAGCTGTAAATAGGTCAAAGATTAGCTCGCCGAGTGTTGCGTCGATGTCCAATCTCCCAGCGAGCCACACCGCATCGCCGAAGGCACAAGAGTGCACAAGAGTCGTTAGTAGCTGTCGTTTGTTTCAAGTTGGGCGGGTTATACATTCGGTTTGCTGGCAACAGAATGGAGAATCGTGTCGTACATTTTAGTCTGTATCTCCGGATTGCGGGTGTATACGAGGAAACGATTTCGCACGATGCTAGGCGAATGTAGTGTGTACGATTTGAGCTCCAGTTGGTTGAGTTACGCGTAGTAAATGGTAGGCATTCTAAGGCTAGTAAATGACGAATTTCCCTTGTTTATTGACGTCACACTCCTTCCCTATCTACTTCTAATGTAATTGATGTTACGTGTTAAGGTAGCAAACGTTGATGAGTCATAGTGACATTACAGTTACAAACTGTTTGTTAATCTGATTAATACAAAGGTAGATAATAAATTGGGCAACTATAAATCAAATGTGAATTTTAGTATTATGTAGCATGCATGCATAATTCTGAAATTTTCTATCTAGTTAGTCCTGATATGAACTTCTCCACAGTGTTTGTTATGGATATAATGTCAACATAATTTCTCTGTTCTCTCTGTTTCTCTTTGTGTTGTATGTGCTGCTCTATCAGATCTACAATCATATACTTGTAGATCATTTAGCCTTTATAAATATATATACATATTTTATACCTGTACATTCTCCTTATTATTATTATAGGCCTGTAGACACACACTCCCCTCTCCAGACAATCGGTATTGGAGCAGGAGCAAGGTGTGTTTCTGGAATTGCTATGCTCCCCTTTACAGTCATAAAAACACGTTTTGAGGTAATTATGCTTTTTGTATTAGCAACACTGTGAAAATATGGATACATTTATTCATGATGACATGGGTAACATGTGATAAATGTTGATGATTTTTGTTGTTATTGTTTTACGTCTTTAAATATATATTTTGTGAAATTTAAATATACGTGAACAATGTTATGCCAGTCCCAATCAATTGTTCGAGATATCTGAAGAATAAAATACTTAACACTACATTTTTAAAGCCTGTTTTGACTATTAGTCTGTAAAAGAGACTCCAGTGGGTGGCGTGTTGTTTTAATGTGTCACTTCTTTTTCAGAGCAACTACTTCCAGTATAGAGGGATAATCCATGCTCTTAGGGATATATATGCTAAGGAGGGTATAGCAGGTATTGTTTCTTCTTCAATTTGCTGTGATGGCAAGTTAGCTAGAGACTACAAATTAGCTAAATAAGAACTCAGGGGTGGGACTGCTCCTATATTTACCATTTTTTCTTGTGTTTTCCACTTTATGTGTTTTCTACTTTGAGTAATCTATATATTTTCCAGTTTATTTCGTAAAACCTATATTTTTATATATATATGTTATCAAAGGCGAGCCTTAAAAATGTTGAAAATTAATATTTTTAATTATTAGCAAGTATACACTAATTACTAACTGTAAATAACTTGCCTTCTTAAAATGACATTTTATCTGTAAAATTGTTTTAGAAAACGTCTGTTTACGTCAACGACTAGTTATATCAATCCACCTGGCTAGATGGTTATAAAACTTTTGGCATATACTATTTAATACAAGTCTGTTTTTATATATCTCTTTAATGTTCAATCAGCTCTGGTTTTCTCTTTGCCAGGTCTATACAGTGGGTTTTCAGCGACCCTGCTGCGTGATGCCCCGTTTTCAGGTCTCTACCTCGTATTTTACACACAAGGAAAGAAGTTGGTACCACATGGTAATGCCATCATCTGTTTCATGCAATTTCTACCCACATGATAGAGATAACATGTTTGAAATTCGTCTGTATGCCATATATGCAGATTACGCTGCAGGTAGAACGTTTCTTTTTGTCGAGTAAAGACTGTTGTGGACATTTCCCTCTGAGGTGTGTTCGTAGTTTGGCTCACTATCGATACCCAACCTACATATAAACTCTGCTGAACCACATACAGGACAACCTGAAGCAACCCAGACGTTCCACTATGCGAAAAATAATTGATCTATCTGCCTGACTTGACCTATATACAGACTTGGATATTGTTGCTAGGCCGCGGCCGAACTCACCCTGTCTGTACATGTACGTCCACGTGTACACGCCAAAATGTCATCATGCTAGTAACTAGTTTTTAAAACGTCCCGTCGCCGATTAAGTAGATCTGCCGCCGTTCACGTCAATCGAATAGTTGCGAGTCTCCCCAGCAGTCTAGGACTGACCGGCGTCGCTCGCTTTTTGTGTTGTGTCGTGCAGAGGCGATGGACAGCAACTACGTTCCCCTGATTCACTTCGGATGCGGCGTGTCGGCAGGCGTCCTGGCGTCTGTCGTCACGCAGCCCGCCGACGTCATCAAGACGAACATGCAGCTGTTCCCGCGACGGTTCGATACCGTGTTCAACGCGATCGGCTTCGTGTACAAGGTAACTCGCTGTCCCACCGCCGACGCATCCTGCCGTTTCACATTAGGCCAAAACAAAATATATGTGTGGTTACCGTTACATGCCGGAAAAAATAGGGTAGGTAGGTAGGGAAACCATTTTATTTTCTTGACATGTTTTATTTACGAACCATGTCCGAAGGATGTGTGTTGTGCCTTTTGAAGCAGGAACTGTCCAATTCATTTTATTTTTTTTATTTTTTACTTTAAGGAAAATTGACAATAAAATGTTTAGGGTCGCTGGGAATAAATAGGGTCGGTCGGGAAACCGTAACCACACCTATATTTTGTTTTGGCCTTATCGCTCTATTATAAACCTGGAAGACTAGTCGCCAATCTCTTTCTGTTGTTGCTCAGAACGTGAGCGAGTGGACAATGAGTCGCACTCCGGTACATCGATCGGTCGGTTGAATGGGATCCCGCTAGAAAATGCCTGCGGGTGCGAGCCGACGCCGAGAAAAAATGTTGGCGATTTTCTCTGTGCGAGACCGGTGGTATTCTTCCACGTTTATAGTAACCGTTACCTGACTGTCCTTGATCAATGCAGGCTGTTCCTGTTTCACCTTGGTGTTTCTCTTTTTTTGTTTTCCAGTTGTATAATCCCGTGTGTCACCTGGGGCTGACCCGGGGACGTTTAAACATAATGTGAGGTAAGGTCGGCAGGTATGTTGTAAATAAAACTAATAAAACTGATGTGCATCGATTAAGTTAGCAGGCCGTACCCCACGGAGGCAGGGCAATTGCATGCAGTTAAACTGCATCAGCCTTGACGTGTGTGTGCGTGCTTGCATAAGTGTGTTTGTGCGGGGGTGATTGTGTGTGTGTGTTGAGCATATGTACGTGATTGTTTCGGCCTAGAAATTAACAAGAGTTTTATTTTCACAGCCATTTCACCAGAGAATGGTTGGAGAAGCTTTTTTCTGTGGCCCACCACTAATGTGTTGGGCGTTTTGTAATTCTGTGATTTTGTAAAACGACCTATTGTTACTGAAACATTATGGGATTTGAATTTCCTGAATATTTAACAGTGCAGTGTCTATCCAGTTGTGTACTTGTATAGGAAGCTCCTGTCACATAATGTACGTATAGAAAGGGCTGTGTTTTCATGATTGTAAAGACGTAGTGCAATGGTTGCAACAAATTCCATAGACCCACGTAGCTGCATAAACGTCCACGTCTTGATATTTATAGGCACATGTCCTGAAATATTAATTACCTCGATCAATTATCGTGCGCTATATTCGCACGCATGCTAAACAATAGGGTGTTTGCAACGCCAATGGCTATTCTTGCTCCTACTCATACTAGATCCAAAAAGTGCATTCCTATCGTAGTTGTAGGCTTATTGACCTTTGACCTGTTAGTAATAATAAAATTGTGGCATAGTGACTCAATTAATTAGCAAAGTAACATCCTGACATGAGATTCACTAAAGAGACATTTTCTAATAAAGGAATTTAAATTAAATTTGTCGAAAATATGTGAGGGTTGCCCTATTTAAAGTCTAAACGTAAAGGGGGCTTATGTCGAGCTTGCGAGCCGACTCGACTGGAAGCAACTGGATTTCGAGCAACTGGAAGCGATCAGCAGCGACTAGTTGCGATCAGTTGCCCACTGTTCTATTCCGAGCAACTAGTGGCAGCCAGTCGCAGACAGTCGCGTCGCAGTCGATCGACCTAAGCACTGCAGTCGCCGTGAATTGCAGCCAGTTGCTTCCAGTCGAGTGATAGCAAGCCCGACATAAGCCCCCCTTATGGCGATTGCTTGTCAAAGGCTTTGGATAGGTGCATGGAAACGTATTGCTGTTACAGTGTAGTGTTGCTTGCTGCATGCAGGGGCGTGTACAGGATTTGTAGCAGGGGGTTGGGGGGTCTAACCGTAACCAAAACTTGCGAGCACGCGAAGGGGGGTCTGGGGGGTCCTCCCCCAAACATTTTTTGAAATTAGACCTCAGATACGTTTTCTGCGCGAGCCTGGGGGGGCTCCGCACCCCCTGGACCCCCCCCCTTCTGTACACGCTCCTGGCATGCTGATAACAGACTTAGTTTAAAAAAGCTGTTTCTTTTTATCAGATGTAGTTCAGTACCCTCGTATTTGTGTATGGTAGTAAAAAAACTAATCTTTTGGGTTGTACTAGTACTACATGTTACAAGTGCTGGCATATGTGCTGTTCCTACCCGCTCCTGTGATCCTCTTCATTGCGTTTGATAACTACTGTACCTGGTGCAACTTAACAAAACTAGTTTACAAAATCAGATGGATAGTCATCAGAAGTAGATAATAGGGACTATAGGATAATAGGGATAATAGACCCTATTATCTACTTCTGATAGTCATGCAAATGTTTCTTTTAGAAAATTTTTATAGACGTTCAGGAAAACCAGAAAATCTATGACCAAGGCTTAGATAGGGTGATTCTTTTACTAATATAGTTTCCTATGTTACCTTGCTTATGTATGTGATTATGAAATGAATTATTTTCTAATCAGAAGATTTCATTCTATTCTGTATAAAGTTGTTTACATAAGTAACAATTATATTTTCAGTAATCTATCTTTTTTCTATTTTAGATTTCAAGGAGGAAAGAGTAATAGTTGTCTTCACTTTATCGTGTTGTTGTAGTCCGTTTGTGTTGAATGCTGTACGTGAGGTGCTCTGGATTCAAAATTAGAATGTGTCTGTGTCATAGTGGGGCCACCGTGTCCTTGCATGCCATGCTTGCCGTCTCCTTGCCTGCCAAGGCAGATGCCATCAACTTTATGATTAGGTCAGTTAGGGTCATGTGTGTCATTTCAGCTATAAATCTGGTTAGGTGCACATAGCTAGCAAAGACAACAAATAAACATCCATTGGTTATACTACCATTTCAAACATTTTCTAGTTCAGGTAAAAGCAGTGCAGCTTAATATTGTGAGTGATCAGGCTGACTGATGTAGACCCCTTTCTCTGTAGTATGGGGGGAATTGCTTTGGAAAAATGTCTCGATGAAGTCACTGTTGAGTTGTTTAATTGTAGGACTACTGAGAAATCTATAACATTTTAAATGCTAGTACCATCAGCTTAAGATTAAAGCCCCTCATACGTGTAAGTTGGAAATAAGGAGAACTTTTTATATGAAAATCTCTGTAATCGGTTTATTCATCATTTCAATTATTAAGTATATGTGCTATGTTATTGAATTAACTGACGCAACAGTGTATTTTTTTTCCAATAATTTCAATTTTTATATATATAATATGTGTGTGTGCGTGTGTGCGTGCGTGTGTGCGTGTGTGCGTGCGTGTGTGCGTGTGTGCGTGTGTGTGTTTGTGTGTAAAAACTTTTTCGTGGATTGAATGTTATTGGAAACAGATCGAAAACTCATAACTGTAATGATAAGGGCAGAACCCTGGCTGTGAGCCCGTGTACCTCTTCGATGACAACTTTTGTCAAATGTAGAGATGACTTCAGTCGTTGATAATCGGTTGGTACTTTGTGGATTCCCTCGAGGAGAGCTTTCCAGGCAATTCACTCGGCACCTGGGGTCTGTCGTGTGAGACCCTAATGTTAGTTACAGTGCTGATCTGAATGCTGACTGTTTGTGTGCATTTGCAGACCTATGGACTCGATGGTTTCCTTAGAGGGTTGCTACCTAGAACGCTGCGGCGCACACTAATGGCAGCTATGGCATGGACATTCTATGAATCCGTAAGTGTCATGTTCAATATTGGTGTTTTCTCGGTCTGTTTTTGTTGAGTTTAGATGTGAATCTCATAGGGAATGAGGTGCTGCCACCTGCTGGGCACTGTTACTTGGTTGGGTCTGTGTGAATGACGAGGGTAGTAAATACTTGTGCAGATAATTTGTCGGTAAATTTTACCATTTCACTGGGATTTCCCATAGATACACGCTGTGATTGTGGGTTACAATGTGTTAGTTCTGTCAGCTTATATTAAGTGTGTTGTTTGTATCCCTGTTATTTTGATAGGCTATGAAGAGGATGGGACTGTCATAAACATCGTTTTGAGGTGTAGTTGTGTGATCTGTTGCTGGACAATTGGCTGTGATGGTATGTCGAGCAATGAAGGTGCTGCCAGAGATAGTTGACATTGTACTTGTCCCTCTACGTGGTCCTCAGAGGAAAAATGAGGCATAGTGGAGAGACAGCTGCCAGAAAAGATGCACAGTGTGCCTTGAAGTGCATGAGGTGTTGTGTCACAACACCTCATTGCTCACACTCACAGTTGAAACTCAGAACAGCTGAACGTAGGACGACGGTTTAATGTAATTAGCGTGATGCCACTTAACGTAGCCAGTATGTGGGTGGACTTGATAATGATGCTACTGCTGCCATTGGCATGATGTAGAAGTTGGTGCAGGTTCATGACATGGATGTAGCGTTGCCTCATTTAGTCAAAAATGTTATATGAGGACGAGTGTACAGCTGAGATAATTTGTAAAATAATATGATTTTGGTCAGATTGTTGTGCATTTTGAATATGCATATAGTGTTGCCCTATGTTACAATTATGTAAAATGATGTATTGTTGGCACGAGAGGATGTAAATTTATATACCAAATTAGTGCTGATCAACTGTCAAATCATCTACTGCGATGTGCACAAAATTCTGTGACACTTTCGAATGTCACTTTGTAATGTGAGAACTTTGAAGGTGCATGTTGAACACTGTAAAAATGTAGAGGTGGTTGAGTTGGTGTTCTTGTATGCTATATTATAATATAATATTAAAATAATTATTTTATTACAGTCTTTTGAAATTTAAGTCTCACTAACTTACCAAGACAATTTTAATATTGTAGCATTACCAATATTTCTTGCTTGTGTGAATTTCGAATATATAAACATTGCTTTAATTTGCAATTATTTTATCATTGATTGAAGCATGTACTTGTATTCTAATTAAAATGAATAAATAATCCCCAGTTGTTGTGAAGGAAACAAGTAATTTTATGACAATATTTATTAGTACACGTTGTTTTGGTTCTTGTGGCTGTGATAATTCTCAGGTCAGTTACTATGAGCTTCAAGTATTGGATATTATAAACATGGACTTATGGGGCACTACTATATGAGATGAATTGCTGAAACCGTACGAAAAGGATTCATGGCAAGAGATTGTCTTTTGACACGTGACCGCTATTAAATCACTACAGGTTCATTAGCCTGTTAGGTTAGAGGATGTGACGCATTATTGGTTGCATTGTTATGCAAATTGTTACAAACAATTTGTACAAAGAAATTGTTATGCTCTGCTATTTCTACTGTTTTCTTTTTCTGATAACTTTCAAAGCACCTAGATTCCTTAGATCTATTAGAAATCTAGTTCTTAAAAAATATCCTCAGCAGGGCAGAAATTTTCCTAGTTCAGGGAATTTTGCTTAAGGTGCCCTCACACAATAGCGTATGCTGAACACCTATGAGTTGCGTGTGAAAATATATTTTTATACGCACCAAACGCAACCCAAATCAGCAATTTTGTTGATTTCTAAAGGCCCCGTACACACCATAGCGTATCGCTGAATACCTATGAGTTTGCGTGTAAAAAATATTTTTATACGCACTCAAAACGCAATCCCAAATCAACAATTTGTCAATTTCTAGCCTATTTCAACCTATGGTTGCGTGTGAGTTGCGTGTGGGTTGCGGTGATGAGTTGCGGTGGGTTGCGTGTGGGGTTTACGTATGGTTGGCGTGTGAGTTGCGAACTGAGCTTATGAATCTCCGCAATATCTGTCGATGCACCTGCGTACGAGTTGCGTCGAGTTTGCGTGTGAGTTCGTGCAGAACTTACGAGATTGCGTTTGAGTTGCGTTCAAAACTTACCAAGTTGGCGTTGGACCTGCGTGCTAGTTGCGTTTAATTGCGCGATGATCGTCCACGTGGTAAAATCCTGTGAATAAAAAAACTCTAATAACGGTACAAACTGCGATGTCGGAGTCTTGTACCCGAGGCCAAGGTTGGCCGCAAAGTGACTGGCCAGCTTCAGTGCCAGGGTTCAAGGGGCAACACTCTGTAACTTCGTGTTTTGGCTTGGTGATGCGAGACCAAAACCCCCTTTCTCCCCGTTAGCAGCTCATCGTAACATCTCGGTGGCATCCTCATGAAGTTCTGAACTGCACCGTTGGTCCTCGTTCGCGACGAGCTCCACCAGAAGCTGGTCGTAGAGACCCAAGTCAAGGGCCTGCTAAATCTCTATGGTCTAACCCAGACTTCTCTCTTCTTCTTCTCTTCTTTCTTTCTTCTTCTTTCTTCTTCTCTTCTTCTTCTTCTTCTTCTTCTTCTTCTTTCTTCTTCTCCCCCTTCTGTTTATTCTATTCTGTAATGTGTTGGTGTGCTAATTGACCAGCATTAAACGATATCCAATAACAGCAAGAGGTAGCTCCATGTTGTCACCTCGGAGGTCGCACAAACAAGCTGAACACCGATCTATGACAAGGCGCCAACTATTTATACCATTTTCTCAACCACGACATGTAGTACGCAACTAACAACGCACTCAACACGCAACTAATAGGTTTGGGGATACGCTGGGAATACGCAGCAGATAAGGTTGGGGTACGCTACACCAACGCAACAGGATGCGCAACAGGCCACGCAGCACACGATCTCGCACATGATCGCAACAGGGTAACGCAAACATTCGGCAACAATTACGCTACCAAAATCCTGGCCGATTACCTCAAATTTGGACCTGCGATCACCTGCGTTCATAACTTATGAGTGCAGTACACTGTTGCGATCGTGTTGCGATCGTGTTGCGATACGTGTTTCAGTGCGTAGCGTACCTGTTGCGTCCTGTTGCGTATAAATTGATCGCAGCATTCGCAGAGAACTTTTTGACAGTTCAAAATTCTCTGAACTTACCTGCGTGTTCTGCGATCACCTGCGTGCTTGTTCGTACTCAAACCTAATAAAACCTATCAGTTGCGTGTGAGTTGCGGCTTCGTAATATGTCCCCACTATTTTTATTGCGCAACCATACGCAACTGGTAATCGCTATGTGTGACGGCACGCTAACTCTATTCAACGCTAATGGGTGCGTGTGGGTTGCGTGTGGGTTGCGAACATGAACTTGTGTAATCTCCCCGCAATACTGGCGATCACCTGCGTACCGAGTTGCGTGGCGAGTTGCGTGTGTAGTTGCGCTGCAAGACATTTCACGAGTTGCGTGTTTGAGTCTGAGTCAAACTTTACCAAGTTGTATTGTGACCTGCGCTGTAGTATGCGAATATCGGTCACGTTGTAAAAAACCTGTATAATAAACTCCATAAATATCGGCATCTCTCCAGGGTCCAAGTAATGATGAACCGTTGTTCTCCACACGGTCGAGCTGCTGATTCTGTAGACCAGGGTAGCGTAACCTCATTGAGATTGTGGCAGGCAAATGCAGTTTGCATACAAGCTTGAAAATTTTTGGAAGCATGTCTGCGAATGGTAGCGCAAGCATAAACCTGGATCGTTGCGCTAGGATTGCCAAAGACATTTTCCAAAACCCTCCTGGCACGGAAGAGCCGTAATTGAAGATCCTGTGTTATCAATTCCAGACCACGGAGTCCGTCAGGGCTTCATCAATGGTCTCTCTGAGGTGAATGCAATCGTCCCGATGAAGTAGTAGGGTACATCCTGGGTCATTCGTAGAGGATGTGGTCGTGGAATCGCGAATGTTCATCCCCTTCCCACATTATTCCTTGCAGCTCGCAGTTTTTTTTTATTGTAGATTTGGCGTCTGATCGAAGACCTAAACCACCGAAGTCCTGCCCAGATGAATTTGTAATCAGCATCTACGAGGCCGAGGATCACCACAGAGTAGAACCCCTTGTAGTTGTAATACATGGATCCACTGTTGGGGGGACACCTACATGCCACGTGCTTCCCATCTAGGGCCCCACATGTATGGGGAAAGTTCCACCTCTTCATGAAGTTGTCTGATATGGCACGCCATCCCTCAGGAGTGGTGGGGCAGGTCATCACCTCCTCCATGTACTCATCAATGATGGCTTGGCAGACCTCACGGACCACGACTGAGATGGTGTTGGGTGGTACTCTCCATCCGTACTGCATGTCGGAGTACTTGGTACCCGAGGCCAGGTGCCGCAAAGTGACTGCCAGCTTCAGGCCAGGGTCCAGGGGCAACCTGTACTTGGTGTTTTGCTTCGTGATGCGAGGACCAACTCTCCGTAGCAGCTCATCGTACATCTCGGGGGCATCCTCATGAAGTTCTTGAATGCGCCTTGGTCCTCGTTCCGGAGCTCCACCAGAAGCTGGTCGTAGAGACCAAAGTGAAGGCGCCTGCTAATCCATGGTCTAACCCACACTCTTCTTCTTCTTCTTCTCCCCCTTCTGTTTATTCTATTCTGTATGTGTTGGAGTGCTAAATTTACCAGATAAAACTGATGTCCAATAACAGCAAGAGGTATAGCTCCATGTTGTCGCCTCGGAGGTCCACCAACAACGGACACCGATCTAGAAAAGGCCCACTATTTATACCATTTCTCAACACGCATGTAGTACGCAACTAACATGCAACTCACACGCAACTAATAGGTTGGATACGCAGGGCATAGGTTGGGGATACGCTGGGAATACGCACAATATGTTGGGGGTACGCTACAAACGCAACAGGATTGCGACAGACACGCAACACGATCGCAACATGATCGCAACAGGTACGCAACACATTCGCAACATGTACGCTACCAAAACCTGGCCAGATACCTCAAATTTGGACCTGCGATCACCTGCGTTTATAACATAGTTGTGTACCAGTTGCGATCGTGTTGCGATCGTGTTCCGTGCGTAGCGTACCTGTTGCGTCCCTGTTGCGTATGGATTAATCGCAGGCATTCGCAGAGAATTATTGAACTGTTCAAAATTTTTGAACTCTTACTCTGCGTGTGTCTGCGATCACCTGCGTGCTTGTTGCGTACTTCAAACCTATAAAACCTATTAGTTGCGTGTGAGTTGCGTTCGGAACTTATGCCCACTATTTTTTATTCGCAACCATACGCAACTGGTGATCGCTATGGTGTGACGGCACCTTATATTAGTTAATTGCGTGTGAGTTGCGTTCGGAACTTATGCCCACTATTTTTTATTCGCAACCATACGCAACTGGTGATCGCTATGGTGTGAGGGCACCTTTAGAAGTGGGAGCGCTGAACAAGCTGCGTTTACACTGTCGATTTTTTGTCAGCAAATCGTACCTATGTCAAGTGCATTCCAACTTGCCCCCGACTTGACCCAAGTGCATTCCAACTAATCGGCTGAAATTTGATTGTGTTGGAGTTGGAGTCGGAGTCAAGTCGCCGAGTTGGAGAAATAGAACGTGTTCTATTTTGCACGACTCGGACGATTTGCTGACAAAAATGAAGAGCAACGCTTCGCAATTTATTTTTCGATTTCGCAACAACATCATACGATACACTGGCGCCCACAGGTCTTAAGAAAGTAGAAGCACAGAAGGATAAAATTCTCAGTGATAATAAAAAGCAGGCGCGCTGCATGCTAGGGGGAGTATGGGGTCATGCCCCCCCCCCCTACAAATGTTTGAATGGTAGACGTCTGGAGATGCAATCTGGTGAGTCTTGCGAGAGAGATTTAGAAAGAAAAAGGTAGAAACACAATTTTTTAACCCAAAATTTACTGGAAGTACTGTGCTTCCAGTGCTTCTATCTGCGGGCGCCACTGATACGATACACTACAATACACTTCCGGGAGGTGGAGCAACATGGCGCGCCACATATGCATAGGTGTGTTCATATTTACCACTATGGTTTTACACTATAAGTATTTTCCGCCATTTCTTCTGAAAGTGTTCATTAGTAATTAGTTGATGACTCATGGTTGTTTGTATATTGTACGTGTTGTCCATATATGGCGGTATATTTGTTTAAATGAAGGTGCCTTCACACCAAATTAGTTAGTGAATGGTGTATAACGTTGGAACATATTGTGAAGGGAGTGACTGATTCATTGATGCTCAACTTCAAGGGGTCGTTGTCGTATCAGGTACTACAGATGGTACATATGATATATGTATACACAAAGTGTACCAGACTTATACTACAGAAGTGTACCTTAACCCTAACCCTAACCCTATCCCTAACCCTAACCCTAAACCTAACCCTAAACATACCTCATATAAAAATATAAACGTAATACCAAACAACCTAAAACTACCTATCTGTAGTACCTGATACGACAACGACCCCATCTTCCTCATTGACCGGCCAGTATTCGTCTCGTTTCTGAAATGACCAAATATGAATATAGGTTTCAATTTATCGCATCTCTACGCCAAGAAATTCGTTGTTCATGCTTAAAGCAGGATGTACTATAGAAGTTGCGCTGGTGAATGTCGTAGGACACGTACGTACTAGTAGTAGTACTATCTATGGTACTACATAGCACAGATTATGATGTTGAATGTTGTGAGCAAGTGAAGTGATGGTGCCGGCTGTCACCACACTACAGGTCATTCATGTACGACTCGTTACTTAGACTATGGGTACGACGTGGAGTGACGCTCCCTTTTATTCCGTGATTGTACACAGGTCCATTTAAAGCTTTGTTTTCACTACCGGTACTGACGCTGAGAGGGTCTATGTCCCCCGGGGTACTGCCGGAACGTACCCTGGGTACGGTACGGTATACCGAAACGTACCCTGATACTATCTAATATGCCGGACCGTATCTCGCCTACTCCACTGACAAGTCTAGGGAGTCGTCTACGCCTACTCCCTAACCTGAACCCGAACCCTAACCCTAACCATATCAAATAGTGACCAGGGTACGTTCCGGTATACCGGACCGTACCCAGGGTACGTTCCGACCGTACCCTGGGGGACATAGACCCTATGAGCGGTACTGACTTCATGCAGTCAAATTGGCGAATTGTACCAGTTTCACTGTTGTACAACCGTCAATCGGCAGTGTAAATGTAAAAGTCGAGTGACCAACTGGCTGGGAGGTGGAGGGTTAGGAGATTAGGAGATATTCTTTTTTCCCAACTCGGTATTGCTGAATTGTATAGGTTTTTGCCATGCGGGCCACTCATAGAACAGCAATCAGGAGGTGTGTCCCTCTACCTAGGGGAGAGCACGTTTTTGCCATTGGCGCCACGCTGCTGGCATAGAATACTTGCAAAAATGCGTATCCGCATTGCCCTGCACGCACACTACGGGCCGGGTCAAATGTTGAAACGTTTGCCCCCTCGCGGTAAATAACGTAAGAGCTTTAAACATATGATAATATATAGAGATGTTGGTAGAAAGAAGAAAAACGCCAAGTTGCCTGCATAAAGTCGAAAGTGTAAACCCAGCTTAAGATGCAAAATTCTAAATTTGGCATGTCATTATTCAGGTGTGCTAGGGTGTGCTAGGGTGTGCTATAGGTGTGCTAATATTATGTAAGCGCGACATGAGTCTATAAAACACTATCTGCGGATTAGGATAATACACAATATTTACATCAACAACAACAACAGCAGCAACAACGTCAACAATGAAAAAAAACAGCTACAATAACAACATAATTAGTACATTGGTTAGTTATTAATTTTATATTCATGTGTTGAGTGTGGGGGGGTCGTATATATGAGCAACTATTCTTTATTCTACACAATAATGCTGGTCATACCTCGTGCTTTTTCAGACTCGCTGATGTTACATATGTGAGAAAGCTGTATGAGAGTCACAGAGACAGTTGATACGAAAGACAAAGAGCAAAGACTATTATTCTCCCCATTACACCCATTTCCGATCGGAGTAGTATATAGGTAAATCATTGTACTGTTTGGTGTAAACCTCTTTGTAAACCTTTTTTTAGTGTTAACTATATAACTAAGGCCAGTGTTAACTATATCAGCCATGGGAATGCAGTTCTCCTAGTAGAGGATTATTTGGCCTTAAATTGCCGAGAATCAGTAACTCTCTATAAATTTTCAATAAAATAAGCTGTACGTTTCCAAAAAGTGAAATTCGACGCACGTGCTCTTGAGGTTTACCCAATGCCGGGCGGATCGTGACATTGTTTTTCTCGCTCGCTCCCGGCAGGAGGCGCCACCGCGACGACGATGATGTCCCACGACGACGGCATCGACGACATGCCGGACCTGCTCGCCGACGACGAAGACATCGAGGAGACGAAGCCGTGCATCCTGAAGGAGCGCACGGACACGGTCGACCTGACGACGGACACCTCGCTCGTCGTCGACATCTCGGACGCGCTCAGCGAACGCGACAAGGTCAAGTTCACGGTGCACACGAAGACGACGCTGCCCGACTTTGCACAGCAGGAGTTCTCCGTCGTGCGGCAGCACGAGGAGTTTATCTGGTTGCACGACCGCTACGTCGAGAGCGAGGAGTTCGGCGGCTACATCATCCCGCCGGCACCGCCGCGGCCCGACTTTGACGCGTCGCGCGACAAGCTGCAGAAGCTCGGCGAGGGCGAGGGCACGATGACGAAGGAGGAGTTCAACAAGATGAAACAGGAGCTGGAGGCGGAGTACCTCGCGACGTTCAAGAAGACGGTGGCGATGCACGAGGCGTTCCTGCAGCGCGTCGCCGCGCACCCGGTGCTGCGCAGCGACCACAACTTCCGCGTCTTTCTCGAGTACGACCAGGACCTGAGCGTGCGCGCAAAGAACAAGAAGGAGAAGTTCGGCGGCTTCCTGCGTAACATCACCAAGTCGGCGGACGAGGTGATGCTGCACAGCCAGCGCGACGTCGACGAGTTCTTCGAGCGCGAGAAGTCGTTCCTCGAGGAGTACCACGCGCGCATCAAGGACGGCACGGCGCGCGCCGACCGCATGACGCGCTGCCACAAGAACGTCGCCGACACCTACATCAAGATCTCGGGCGCGCTCGTGCAGCTGGCGACGGTCGAGAGCACCGAGCTCGCGCGCTTCCTCAACCAGCTCGCCGACGCCTTCGAGAAGGCGCGCAAGATCGAGGGCCGCGTCGCGTCTGACGAGGACCTCAAGGTCTCCGACACGCTGCGCTACTACATGCGTGACTCGTCGGCCGGCAAGGACCTGCTGTACCGGCGGCTCAAGTGCCTCGCCAACTACGAGAATGCGAACAAGATGCTGGAGAAGGCGCGCCTGAAACACAAGGACATCCAGCAGGCGGAGCAGGCGCAGCAGCAGGCGCGCGACAGCTTCGACCATATCTCCGAGATCGCAAAGTCGGAGCTCGGAGACTTCAAGACGCGACGGGTGCAGACGTTCCGCAAGAATCTGATCGATGGCGCGGAGCTGGAGCTGAAACATGCGAAGGCGCACCTGCAGTTGCTAAAGAACACGATCGGTATGTTGAAAGAACAATAGGGCGCAGAGTGTCGACAAGCCGGTTCGGTGGTCTACAACGGCGGAGATTGCGTTCGGTTTGTTCTGAGGAGCCGTGATACGCTGTGGCGTCTTCGCCGTTGTAGACTATTGCTTGGCTATGAAGATTACATGTTTGTTATTAATTATTAACCCCATCAATGCGGTGAAAGGTCCAGCGATGGATCGAGGAAATGGATTTACTTTTCTTTAAAATTGTTTGGATTTGTTCCGGTAGGAAGTGAACATCAGCGTATGAATAATTTTTACGTGTAGGTTAACCTGGCTGATTGAGCGTAACAGCAGAGCTCGTACTCTTAGGACCCGTGTAATGGTCATAGTTCACGTGAAATTGCATCGATCTATGGTGAGGCTCTTTCATACGCGGCGTATTTACCATTATGTATCGAATAACGTTGCAATTATTAACCTAAAATCGATGAATAAACTGCATGCATCACACTCGTATGCACATCATATAGATACTTCTAAACACCACAGATTGGGTTTTAGAATTACGTAGGTTTTTCGAGATTGTGAATTGATTGATCGTGAACGATGGATGTGATTGGAGCAGGGACTCAACATGTGACGTCAGCTAAGAAGTCTATTGGTTGCATTCCAGCCAAGCTAGGCGTGAATCGGCATCTTAAATGTGAATATGTATAAACTTTATAACTGTAATTGTAAGTGTAACTTTTCAACACTGAAATGCCATCCTACTTGAAATTAAATTGAAAGTGATTGACTCTCTTCAGGCAAAGTGTAGCATGGATACTTTACGTGTACTGGACGTTCTTATTGGAATCGGGTCGAAAAAGGTTTACAACAATATGATACGATGATTAGGCATGATGCTGGCTCGATTTTGAATGTGATGCATGTACATGTACAAGTAGTGGCTTCTTTCTAAGACATATAAAAGTCATTTCATAAGAACATGCATATTTTTATCCAGTCTGTCATATTTTTGAACTGCTGAGTTTATAGGTCAACACTATTGTCGTTGTATTTGTTTACATGATCGTGTGTACGTGTGTGTGTGGACATGTAATTGCAGTTTTCCATGTTTACCATCAAGCAAGTGGTTACTATCTATATAATAATTTGAGTAGTGTCGGTCTGTTTGTTCCTGTATAACTTCTAGGCGCGTTCACGAATCTAGAATCTCATGAAATTTTTCGTGCTTCATTCCTACGCATCAGGTTCGATTCTAACACTTTGCTTTTTGTTATTTATTGGGTTAAATGTTTAAAAAAAACATATTTAGAAAATCCAATGGAAAATCTCCCTGGAAAACATGCACGATTCAGTTCCCTTCTGCTAGGTGCGCTGGCTGTAGACTTACAAACACGCAACCACAGGCTAAGGGATACAGTAGTCTGTCACGTAACCTTGCAGTGGATTCGCCAGGGCACACATTTTTATCAGTATCATATATATATATAAATATATATATATATATATATATATATATATATATATATATATATATATATATATATATATATATATATGCGCTCATGAACGTACATCAACGATAGGTGTGCTTGTGCAGTCTTGGCATAGAGATGACATAATATCATGAGCATATGTATACTCTGGTTGTGTACTATATATAACCGAGTATATATATATTATAAGTGTTCATGATATTACCAACAGCCCGTAATACTATTATGGGTACGTATATATTATGGACTTTTGATAATAAATTATAGTCGCTTAATAGGCTCTCTATGATCTTTGGTCAAACTCAGCCATATTTACTAAAGGCATCCATCACCTATTCTTTAGCCCAAATTCTTACAGACGTATGCTGTTTGATAACAAGTATTCAGCACACATCAGGTGTAAACAGACAATAGTGCCGGCGGAAGAATTGCTCACTACACGGCTGTTCGTTGAACGGTCGCCAAAACAACGGACAGTACGCGGTGCACTGTCCAATAATATATCCAACAAGAAAATGACCATCGTCTGTAGACACGACCTCTGATGACTGAAAAGCTTCTCTGAAATGCCACTATATACCGCGTGCACACGAAATTATCATCATCATCATCATCATCATCATCATCATCATCATCATCATCATTATCACCACCACCACGATTATCATTACAATTATCGTCGTCGTCGTCGTCATTGACGTCTTCGCCGTCGTCATCGTCATCATCATCATCAACATCACCACCAGCAGCAGCAGCAGCAGCAGCGTCATCATTATCACTATCAGCGGAATCAGACTCAGGTCTCGTGTGAGCAGAGAAGAGAGAAGCTGGTAAAGTCTTGTCGAATGGAGACTTCGGATTACTCTCTTTGCGGGTATCTAGTTCATATAATACCTTCTGTTATGGTTCCGTAATTGAAACATGCTACAGGCTATTGTCGTGGCGAGTAGACTAATGTGCAACTTCTCTCTGCCACGGTTATTGCACTTGTTACCATGACTACGCAACTACAGCTGAAAGGTCAACGGTGGAAATATAGCCACTGGTAAGTTTCACATCATTACGTATAACAGAACATTACGTGAAGTAGCCAGCAAACACTAAAATTGGGGAGCATTTTCAGAACGATCGTTAGCATGAATACAAGTCCTAAACCACCGTCAAAAAAAACCTCTCAATGCTAGAGAAATCCTAATAATTTGTTCTTAACTCTACAACAGGGTCTATTCAAATCTCTCGTTAAAAAAAAGAACAAAATTACACTTCAATGACCACCAATATTGCATTTATATTTGATGTTCCTTTGTTATAAATGCATTTTTCATAAAAATGCCTAACGAATCTCACTCTTTGTACCGTATATATAAAAAAAACATTTACAAAACTGGCGATCATATTTTTTATGACGTGCCGTCTTAGCCATCGCCCACCCATAAACACACGATATTACGACAAGAATTACCCATCTACTTACTCATTTGTTATCTGAGGTTCTAGAAACTGTTTGCTATCACACCATAATAATGTTCATGTCATAATACCAGTTCTACGTTTTATCACGCGCAGCTGACGTTTTGTCGTGGCGTTACGATCGTTTTGACAATGCTCCCCAGATGTCTCTGGCGTAACCTGATCCAAATCACGAATCATGAGGCAGATGCACACAGTTCGACAACTGGCTCTTGGCATGAGCGATTTCATTGAATGCAGCTCGCTCATATTTCGTCACGAGGCAGAATGAAAGTACGCAAGTGATTGATTTCCCTTGCCTTTCTACATAATAGCAAAAACTCGCGAATTAATGCTTGCCTTAGTTGATTACTCCCGCATATATCTGCTAAATTGTATTGTATCTCTCTGATATATAATATACTATACGGTACATATTAGAGGTCCACTTACAAGAACCTCTAATATAATGGCATTAGCCACTGATATGAGCACGTCACTAGCAAACCTCCACTGTAAAATGTAGACCATCAGAATCTTCCTGGGATTTACGTGACGTGAGTTATTATAAGAACTGTTGGGGGACTCGGTGTCTCCTGCTGAGGGAACCATGGGCAAAACACGCACGTCCCCGTTGCTGATTCAGCACTGACATGGCCTCATGCAATATAAGCGGGTTCCGTATATTATATTAGCCTTAATTTGAAGAGAAAAACAATGGATTAGAAGGTGTGTATACAAAGTGTTTTATATAGAAATAAAAAAAAACCGGGACAGAAAATTTTATGTTAGTAACAGGATCCTTGTATTATTGTCTTCGTATCAAGTCAATATTTTACTAAAAGATTACTATGAATCGGGCCGGGATTTAGAGAAATCATCGTAGTCTCATCAGCGTAACGAGCGAATGTGGTTCGCGAGTATGTGTAATGTCACTACGATTTCCACAGAGTACAATGGTGTACATTTAGCGGTCACATTGGCATTTCTTGTTGTGACTGTTGAAAGGTATTGGGCATTTAATATAACACCATTATACAGTAGTACGATGGGTCTTCATTATACTAAATGACTCGGAAAAGATAAAAAGGAATCAAAATTTGTGAAATTTGCTTAATGGGATATTAATCATTGCAAGTAATTAATTTAACATCTTGTAGAATTCTAGAACGGCAAACTCGATTAGGCACCAGTCGCTGGTTTTGTGTTAATTGACAGTCGCTCTTATATGTTTAATTATGTTAGCTATACACAATTGAAAATTAACACGTATAACTATTGAAAACGTAAACTTGTGTGTGTAGAGAAAGGGTAGATGGAAGTTAGGGGAATGTTGTTTATACTTTATCAGCAAGTGCTTTGACCACTTCAGAGAAAAGTGGTATGCTGGTTCTCTGATTTGAGACGTCAACCAAAACTTCTTGAAGTTCTTGTTGCACCGAAGTTACGTCCATAGCGATATATGTTAGCTTAAGTGTCCTACGTGACTGAAATGAAAAACCTTCTAGTATTACCGATATGTAAATGCTTCAGCATCTACATTTGCAGCAACTGGCTAGTATTTCGATTTCACGACAGCTCTCGGGTTGAGTAAACATGGAATCGGTGAATGCAGAATGTTGGCCTGGTGATGCGGCCTGGTGACTTTTATACGCGATTTCAGAGAGTATTTTTGTTACGTTTTGCCACGTCCAGGCATTACCAGGAGTAAGATAATATAGTAAGATCCTATATTATCTTACTCCAGGCATTACTAGAGCGCGCATTGTCGGTGTCGTTATTGTACCTCGCTTTTTCAATATGTTTTGCTTTACCATACAATTATCGATATCAAATTCTATGAATGATCACGGGGAAGCTGTGCGAACCGTTGCTCTTACAGTGGAGCTGCCAGTGATTTGTCATCATCATTCAGTAAATAATTCGCTTATTGTGCGGAGAACTTTTCACTGCTCTCGGCCGCTCCACACAGGAACATGGCGCGCCCGTGTGTATGTTTGTGCGTCTGCCCATAGAGCACTGCGATTGCGGTTGCCGTAATTGAGATGTAATGTAGAGAAGCCATGCAGACGAAACGTTGTATTAAAATTGCATGCCATCATTAGATGTTTTGATGGGTAGAGAGACGCGTACCCGCGCGTGCGCGCGCTTGAGAAAGAGCGAGAGAGAGAGAGAGAGAGAGAGAGAGAGAGAGAGAGAGAGAGAGAGAGAGAGAGAGAGAGGGGAAGGGGAGATAAAGTCATAGGCGGATAAAAATATGGGAATGCGATATAGAGATTTAGGAGCCGTGGGCGTGCGTGAACGCGCTGCACGTAAAAGTGAATAGCAGCTCAAGCTGCCCGCTTCCGCGAGCCCCAGCGCATGTGAATGTATGCTATTTTATAAAATTACGGGACGGGTCGATACGACGCGTACGCCGCGTACGATACGACGCGTACGACGCGTACGATACGACGCGTACGACGCGTACGATACGACGCGTATTGCGTCGTTATCGTGAACTGTTTGCTGTTCGCATGTCATAACACTGTAAATCTATGTGTGGAACAAAGTCTGCAGTATCACCTTGTTTGTTTGTTTGGCGTGGAAGTATATAAATTTTGTGGGAATTCTCAAAATCCCTGTTTTATTGTTTTCTTTTGTGAGTAACCAACCATGCAGTGAACGTGTGTGTTTTTGTAGTCGACCGGTAAAAGTAAAACAACCAAAATAAGCTATATAACAAAACACGATTGTTTTATTGGAACCATTATAATATCCTCGCAGTTATTTTACACAATATTTTAATAGGTAACATTAAATAGTTTAATGATACATAATTTCTCTAAGTAACGGAGATGATTTACGTTAGCAACAGCTGGATTCGAACTTAAAACAATTTTATGTGAAACATACAACAACAAAATGTGTGTAAAAATGTTAGGTTATATATAGGTTTCTATAATTAAGCGCTGATTACTGTACATAGTATCAATGGTTCACATGATTTTCTCTCGATTGCTCGATGCCTCAATTACTCCCCTCTCTTACACAGGCACATAACGCCCAAATATATATATATATACACAAAGTCACAACTCCGCTCCGCTTCCTTCCCTACCTCCCCCCCCCTCCCGTCACTTGTTGCGATTTCGCCCAATAAGTTGGCGATTACATCAATAAATTTCAATTCAATTATTCAAATTGCATCCAATAGCCGCACTATTCTAGATGTC